GTCTTTTAGAATCTAAATGACTCCACGATTCACGATGTATCCATGCTGCTTATGTAACTTATTTTCAAGGTCATGGGCTTGCTTTTCATTCAAGGAAATCTCCAAAATGGGAATTTGATGGGAAATCATGCAGGCGGATTGTATATGAAAATAAAATACATGTAGTAGATTGTATACTTGCTCTATGTCTCATTGAGATTTTCATGCTACAAGAATGCAACTCCTTTATTAAATACGAAGGCCATGGAAACGTGATTTAAACAATTCAAAATTTTTATTTGCTTCGAGACAGACTTTAAATCTGGCGTATTTTTAAATAACTTTCCCCAGAGCCTGAGGGACTCGGGGAGGCGGAGGTGGAATGGGGACACTGGGGACACGTTATCTGCCCGATGTGCCTCTCTCGCTTTGGCAGCGCTCAGAGGTCAGTGGAAGTGTGAAATCCATGGGCAGACACTGCCAAGCACAGATAAGGGAGAAGGCAGGACGGCAGCTCCAGTGTCCAGGTCCCAGAGGGTTGAATGGGCTTGGGATCCGCTGCCTGTGGTGGCGAAATTGCCCCGAAAATCCATCTTCTGCAATCTGCGCCAGAGAGAATTTATACTGGTGTGCCAGTGGATGAACCCACCCAGGTTAATACTCTGTTAGTGCCATAAACACCTTCACAACCCAAAAGGGCCAGGAGGGGTTTGCCCTCAGAGCTCCAGGCAGCCCCTCCGCACCATTTACCCCCGGTGATGAACAGCCTGCCCTGCTCTGGGATGAGATTTGGGACAGGTGGAGAATTACACCTGAGCAAACACCTAGTGGATGCCTTCCGTGGTTGCAGCGTTCTTTGGCAGGACTGCAAGCAAAGCAGTAATTTCTCATTTTTACTGAGGCCACCCCATGCACTGAGGGGTTCACAGCTCGGAGGGTGAGGCCGCCCACTGACCCCTGCGCTCTGTCTGGGGAGGCCTGTACCCAGTTCTGGACCTCTCGGTTCAGAAAGGACATTGAGGTGCTGGAGAGAGTCCAGAGAAGGGAATGGAGCTGGGGAAGGGTCTGGAGCCCCAGGAGGGGCTGAGGGACCTGGGAAAGGGGCTCAGCCTGGAGAAAAGGAGGCCCAGGGGTTCGGAACCTTCTGGCTCTGCACAACTCCCTGACAAGAGGGGACAGCCAGGGGGGTCGGGCTCTGCTCCCAGGGAACAGGGACAGGACATGATGGCAGAGCCTTCAGCTGCGCCAAGACAGGTTTAGGCTGGACATTAAGAATTTTTTCCCAGAAGGGAAATGGTGGAATTACCGTCCCCGGCGGTCTTTAAGGAAAGGTTTGGCACAGCGGTCGCAGGCCGATGTTTGCAGCAGCCCTTTTTTTCCCATCCGGAGCGATGCCGTGACACCGAGCCCCGCCCGCCGCCGCCGCGCCCCTCAGAGCCGGGCGGGCCCGCGCTGCGGACGGATCCCGCGCGGAGCACGGCGGCCGGCACGCCGCCGCTCCTGATTGGCTGCGGCGCGCCTGGCCCCACATCAGCCCAGAGCCCGCTCTCCTCGCGGCTGGCCCGATAGGGGAAGAGCCGACGCCAGCACGGACCAATCGGCGCACAGCTTTCTCAAGCTCCTCTCCCTGCCCACCAATGAGCGGGCGGATCAGGGGGAGGTGTGCCCAATCAGAGGAGCGCTCTCATGCCGCTCGGCGGGAGGGGCTGGGGTCCCTCTGGGGCTCCCCTCAGCGCGGAGGCGATGGCGAAATTGCCCGTTTTAGGATAAAAAAACCCACAAAACTGCTGAGCCAATTCGGCTGCAAAGGACGTCTGAGGTCATCGATTCCAACCTGTGACTCAACACCACCCTGTCATGGCACTGAGCGCTCCATGCAACCTTTCCTTAAACAGGGCCGGTCATTCCACCACCTTCCTGAGCAGCCCATTCTAATGGGCTAAGGAGTAAAATACATTCTAATGGGTTTTAAGACGAAAGCACCCTTTCTGCGAAGTGTTTCCTCCTAAAAGCAGCAGCAGAAGAACTGCCGCTTTCTCCCACCCAAAGCAACCTGTACTCCTAAAAAGAAAATGAGCAGCTAAATCACCAGAGAAGGGACCCAAAAATCCTCTGGCTGAGCTGAAAATGTGTAATTTAAAAAGGACTGACCTAGTTAGAGCTCATGGAGGAAGGGGTATGATGGATTTGCTGATAAAACTGGGCTTTTAGGAAAGCCTGATGGCACTTTGTCACTTATTAGTAGCAGTTTTACGATTGTATCCTTACTTAAGAGGGGGTTATGCATCCATGTTCTCTGCCTTCATTCCAGTTTTCCCTTATCCAAAGCAGTTTTTCCCTCTTTCAGAAGTGACTTTGAAAAAATGGCAAGTAAAAGAAGGAAAACAAAACAAATCTTTAATAAGAAAATGGGCATTAAGAGTACTGCAGTGACTATTGCAATTAGTTTGAAGACTAGATTAGGACAGCCAGAGGAAAATAGCCTGAATACAATTAACCGGAATTGTCCATTTTCAAATCTTTTTAAGCCCTGCCTTACGCCTGCTAATAGTAATAATAGGGTAGAAATGAAATCATGTTTTCTGCCTCAGATTAGATTAGGGGCTGTTCAAAAGATGCTTCAGAGCTGATGAGCAGCAGTAATGCTGCTGATGGCACTACCCCTGTTGTGGGCTCTGAGGTCACCTGGAGTCACCTGTAAGACTAAATTGACTGATGAAATGCCTGGATCTAGGAGATAAAAGTTTTGTAATAATACCTCAGGGCGATCTCTGCAATACACTGAGGCCTGACCATGATCCATTGAACCAACAACTGGATTAGGAAATTTAAAGATTTTGGAAAGTTTTTTTTAAAAAATCCTATATTCAGAACATTGGCCAGCTGGTTAATGAGTCTGGATAAGAATAAGAAATTTCTGGTTCATTTGATGTCCATGACCTCTGCAACCTCTACATGAAGTCAGGAGTACAAGTAACCAGAATCAAAGGCATTTGCAGAAAGGGAAAAAGAAATAAAAGAAAAAGGGAAAAAACCAAAGAAAAGAATCAGCGACACATTGCAAGAAAAATCTCATGGGGAGGACATTAAGAAAAAATACCTAAAATGAGAAATGGTCAAAAAGAGATGAGCTGTGACAGGTTGAAGCTATGAGATGAAGCAAAGACAGAAATATGAAGCTCACTGAGGTTAAGAACTAGCCCACAGTAACATCACCATGGCTTTCTTTAAGGCCATGCTACTTTTTTGAGCATAATGATGCTTTAAAAAGAGAGAACCCTGTGATGTGATAAAACTCAAACACCTAGAAGCCCCCATTTTTTTCTAAACACTGTTCAAATAGTTGTTAAATCCCCGAGTAAGATAACTTAGTTTTTAGTGTAGATGAGGAAATAGAGAAGCACTCCTGCTTCCTCTGTACAGTGAGACCCTCACCAGGACCTTTCTAGAAACCTCCCAGCCCTCCCCATGAAGAAGTTCCGTGTGGCTGAGATCTGTGTCCCATGCCATGATGCAATGTATTCTTTGAGCAGACGCTATTTCATTTATTTAAACGAGGAGGGTGAAATACCACCAGTCTTTCATAAGATCTGGGCATTTGGAGAGATAAACATACCTGAAATAGGCTCGTTGAGACAGGCCAGGACATCAATTAAATGCCAGGAAGGTTTCCCAAATTATCCTGACCTCGTGCAAATGACAGCCCTGAGCGCTGGCCTTCAAAGGCAGCCACGACCACAGGCCTCTGGAACTCTGTAAGAACAGATGGGAAGAAACAACAGGCACTTTGGAGAAAGGGATTTTGAGGGGATTCCACCATGGGAATTCACACAGCGAAACAGGAACGTTCTCAAATTTGCACAAACAAGACCCCTTGGACCATGAACAGCAGAAGGGGACACAGAGAAGGCCATGCCAACTGGAAGCAAATCAAAGAATTGTACCAGGCACAGAAAACAACACTCATGACCGTTAATTATCATTAAGTTTTTTTTATTATGAGGCTCTTTACATGCAATAAATGCTCTAGAAGCTGACATTTAGTGTGTGCTCAGAGTGTGAATTGAGGGCAGATAACCAGAGATCTCATAAGAACCTTCAAAATACCTGTCATCACTTACCAATCTGTTCTGGAAGAGGATGAGGCTTCAGACTATACACAGGTATCAACATCAGCAAATCTTAAATGAAAGCATCCTTTTAAATACGTAAAGCATCTATATCCTGCTGAAATCAAATCCTAAGTACCTTCCTGGATGTGGGCCCAACCCTTCCAGGGCCAAATTGAAAACAATGCTGAAAGGTCTAGGCTGTTCTGCTAAATGTGAAAATAAGTGCTTTGGCCAGAACAAAACTGGGAAAAAGGCCATAGCAGAGATGTCTATATTCTAAATGTCTACTCAGCTACCAGGCTTTAGGCTGAGCTGCATGGTTTAAACACCAATGGACTATAAAATCAGTCTCTCCTCATAAGAGATGCTCCAAACCTCAGACCATCTTTGTGGCCCGTGCTGGATCCTGCCCAGCAGCTCCTTATCTCTGTGTACTCAGGAGCCCCGAGCTGGGCACGGGGAGGAGCAGAGGGGAGGACCCGCTCTTCTCACCGCTACCTCCACGCTTTTCCCAATCCCGGCGATTTCCCCGTGATTTCCCCAAATCTACGGCCTGTCAAGGGTGGAGCAGACTGGGAGCACCCGCTCTCCTCGCTGTTCCCTCCACACCTTTCCCGATCCCTGTGATTTTCCCGAACCCACGGCCTGTCTAGCGCGGAGCAGAGGGGGAGGACTCGTTCCCCTCACCGTCACTTCCACTGCCTTTCCCAATCCCGGCGATTTTCCCGTGATTTCCTCGAACCCACGGCCTCTCTAGGGCCCGCTCTCCTCACCGCTGCCTCCAGGCTTTTCCCAGTCCCGGCGCTTTTCCCGTGGTTTCGCGGAGCCCGCGGCTCCGCGGGAGCCCCGCCCGTGCGGGTGCGCTGTGGGCTCGCGGCCTGCGGGCGGCGCTGCGGCGGCGGCGGGAGCGGCGGGGCGGCCATGGCGGCGGCGCGGCGGGTGCAGCTCCGGGGGCCGCTGCTGCTGCTGCTGCTGGTGCTGCTGCTGCTGCTCGGCGCGGCGGGGCCCGGCGCTGAGGCGGCGCGGAGCCGCGGGGCTGACCGCCAGAACAGCCTCCGCCGCGCCGCCAGCGGCCTCTACCAGGGCGTCAGCGGCCTCTTCGGCGAGGACAACGTGAGGGCCCTGCAGAAGGTGAGGCGCCGGTTGTTGCTCGCCTCACCCTTCCCCCCCGTCCTCCCCTACATCTCCCCGCGCTTCTTTAGCTTCTTCCCCTTCCTTCTCGGTGAACGGGCGGCTCTTGGGCCGCAGCCCCATCGCCCCCCGGTGCGGGGCTCGTTGCTGGAGCGGCCGTGGCCTCGTCCCGGCGGCGGGAGCGCTGCTTTGGGGAGAAAAACGGGAGGCCAGGCTTGCAGCAAGCTGAGGGGAAAACAGCAGCTGAATGCTGAAATCGAGGTGGTTTGAGGTGGGGGACACGGCCGGGGCCGCTGGCTGGCGGTGAGGAGCCCTCCAGCTGAAATCCCGTGTGTCTGCATCAGCAGAGCATCCTGTGCTTGTGGGGCCAGCGGAACTTGCAGGAAGGCGAGTGCGGGAGCTGTGCATTCCTCTGTTCCTGCCTTCCTCAGGCAGCGGGAACAAATAATAAATTCTGCCGAATTGACCTCGGAGGACACCTGAGACATTTGCGTGTGATGCTGGGGACATCTCTCAGTTGCTTGATAAAAAGAATTCTTCGGTTTGCTGTACTAGTTGTTGGTAGTAGTGTTTTATCTGAACTTCAAAACGATAGTAAAGCCAATAAAGTGCATTTTAAAATCTTGCCAACGTATACATTTACATGCCAAAATACCTACAGTAACGATAATTGCAACGCATAAATTCATGATTCACAGAGTTAAAAAAAATTCAGATTTACAATCTTTCCCGTGGGGACTACGAAATAATCTGCAATTCTTGCTTAATGAATTATAATTCTACTCATGACAAATAAGTCTCAAAGTGTTGCTTTGGGAATTGAGGTTTTTTTTAATTTTCAATTTTATTTCAGTTTTTCTCAAGGTTGACAGAGAGGTTTGTGAATGGGGTGGATGTATTAATGGACACATTCTGGAGAATATGGACTGATTTGTTAGATGTTCTTGGAATTGATGGTAAGTGTGATGCCTGCTCACCCTTGAACTGTCTCAGCCTGTATCAGTGTTTACAAGCAAATGGGAAAACGATTACATTTTATCATGCCGCTTAAACATCCATCAGTGGTGTCTCTCTCTGCTTCACATGGCTTTGATTTTCCTATTAGTATCTTCAAACAAGAAGACTGAGCCTCACCATTCCATTTCTGTGTGTCTATCTACAGGATGTGTATAGAATGAATTACAAGTCAGGGTTGGTTCCTCGGTGTCATCATTAAATGGATTCACACAGCCAGGAACAGTGCAGGGGAATCAATGAGGACTAGAGGAAGGACAGATGCAGTTGAGAGCCTTTAGAATGTAGCTTTTACAAAGCAGGATCTGTAGCCCCAGTATGAATTTTGACCTCAGGCTCTACAGTGGTTTGTCTTTAAAGAGCCTTTAGCACCTTTCCTGGAGCGAATTCAGTTGAATCCTTGGAACTGAGACAGTGATTTGAAGAAGGTTCATCCAGAAATAGGTGAACCAGCTTTACCCCTTTCTTTAGAAAGCACAGCACTGCTGTGTGGCTTTGACCTTTTGGAGCTGCGCTGGTGTTTTTTGCCCCGTGCCCACCCTCGTTAACATCCTGTGCACTTTCCTTTGTTTTTCAGCCTCCAACCTGACTCATTATTTCAGCCCAGCAGCGATTGCCAACAACCCCACCCGCGCCCTCCTGCTGATCGGTGCCATTTTACTGGCCTATTGGTTTTTATCTCTCTTCCTCGGATTCTTCTTCTATCTCCTGCACATGCTGTTTGGCCGCTTCTTCTGGATCGCCAGGGTGGCCCTGTTCACGCTGTCCTGTGTGTACATCCTGCAGAAGTACGAGGGTGACCCGGAGCACGCCGTGCTGCCCCTCTGCTTCGTCGTGGCCGTCTACTTCATGACGGGGCCGGTTGGGTTTTACTGGAGGAGAAACAGCAACAGCAGCCTGGAGGAGAAGATGGATCACCTGGATAGTCAGATCAGACTGCTGAACATCCGCCTTTCCAGGGTGATCGAGAACCTGGACAGGGGCAGCGAGCAATGAGCCGGCCCCTACTGACCACTGTACACCAGCTCCGGGAAATTCCTAAGCACTGTCTCACCCGAAGTTACAAAGCAACAAAACATCACATGGTAAAAAGTGTGCAAAAGTTATAACTTTTCATCGTGTCTGAGACTAATTTATCTAGGTTAAACACGTTAGACTTCTAGGAGAAAGAAAAAACATTTACAAAATTCAGCTGTATATTCCGAGTTTTATCCAGTACTAGAGTTTTCTCAGTAGATAAACGCTTACTTTTACAAGCATTTAAAAACATCTTTTGTAAAGTTTTTATAAAAGCAAATTGAGTAGTCTTTCAGATATTGAAATTGAGTTAAACGTATGCAAATTTGAAACTTTAACAGTTAAAAAGAAAAAAAAAATTTCAAGCTACCAAGCACTTCCATTGAGAAGTAACTGCTGTGGGTCCATATTTTTTCTTCAGAGTTGTGAATGTTTTTGTGTTTTTGTTGGCTTATTTCATTGCCTTGAAGTTGCCTTTCATAGAGTATCAGATGAGGAATTTTCTGGTATCCAGGCCAAAAAATTCACACCGTAGCTTTTAACAGGAGGTGGGGAATGAGGGAGAAGGAAGATCTGAAGTCCTTAAATGCCAGTCCAGTGTGAGGAAGCGCACGTGTGGCATTTTACCATTGCATTTCATCCCAAGAACTTTAATTTGTTAGTGTCTGGAAGGAAATCTGCTTAATAAATTGGCACAGAAGGAAGATGTAGCGCGACAAATTGTAATTCATATTCGATCTGCACAGTGAAGCATTTTCCAAGCTTAAGTGCATAGACTAAAACATGATTTTTAACCTCAGGACCCACATACTTTCTCAGAAAAGGCAGCAGTTAAAACACGTGCTAATGTATTGTTGCTTAAAGCTTTCTCAGGACCAATAAGCGGCAATAAATTATCTTCAGGAAGATCTGGATTTTTTTCTAAAATTATAATAGTTTTATAGGAGCTTTTTGCTTGAAGTCTGTGTCCTCATTAGGTTTTGGGCAAAACGAGTCACCTTTCAGAGGAGGGTGCAGGAAACGGTTCTCTTTCAAAGCAGTGGAGCTTTGAAGCAATTTTATTTTGCAGGATTTCTGTTTGTATTAGAGCTAACGGGCTTGGTAGGGTATCACTGGCTGTGCTGGTTTACTGAAACAGTGAAACAAAGGTAAGCTCAGGGAAGGAAGCCTGGAATGTGGTTTCACCTGGAAACAGCAGCATCCAAGGACACAGATGTGTGGAGGGAGGGGAAGCATCTACCCCGTAGTGATGAGCACAGTTCTGATAGCACGAGGGGTAGGATGGAGCACAGCTGGACCATTCCATATTCCATAGGGTCCAAACGAACAACTACATCAAAAAGCGCAACAAAATTGGTCTGTGATGGGGCCTGGCTACAAAGCAAGGGAAGAGGAGGAGGAGGAGGAGGAGGCTCCCCAGGTGTGCCTGCCAGTGCCAGGTCAGTGGGACAGGCTGGGGCAGCTGAGCACAGCTTGTTCTTCCACTGGGCAAAGCTGTTGTTGGATGTGATGCTTAACTGAATGTAACTGTGGGGCAAATTGATTTTTTCTCTTTTTGCTGAAAGTTTAATGTTCTTCTTGAAATGTATGTGTTACTTGCCTAACCTCTTTGGGTCTGTGTGTGACATTTCCATTGGGGTTATTTTTAAATCCATGTTAATGGCCTTTACTCCTGGTGATCACTTTGGTTCAACACGGTTGAAGTTCATATGCACTTGGCACGGTTGGAATGCATTTTAATTTTTTATGTCACCTGTAAATCCCCCTTGTTTATTAACAAGTACATGGTTTAGAGTTGTTAAATAACTGGTTATCACAACTTAAAATCTTTCCTGTGAACAAATAGGGACTATGGCAACATTTCAGCTTTGTCAAGCTGAAAATATCAATTACAGTAAATTCCTTTTTCCAGCTCATTTTCCATAGTATTACGGAGTCTTCCCTGTAAACTCAGTTCTCCCTGCTGTTGTGCACAGAGGACTGGGCTAAAACACCAACCTGGAAATTAGGAATTGACTAGTAAAGCTTGTCAGGTCTTGATGTGTTTTGTCAAATTTGAGACCTGAGGACCAAAGTTTGCAAACCTTGCTCATGTCAGTGGCTCCATCACCTTCTTAGGACAATGTGCATGGGTCAGTTTGCATAGATTGTATTTTGTGTAATCCATATTTAACGTTGAAGTTAAAAATACTGAATCATTTATATAGTAAGAGTTGTCTATGATAAAGATTTCTTTAAAAGTATTATATAAAAGTTAATTTGGTTTATAGTTTCTCCCTGTCTCGCTCTAATCATTTATCTTAGTTTTGTAAAACCAGCCCTCCTATATGAATGCTTTTCATTTCGATCACCCTGCTTCTTGAAAAATGGTATTTTTATATTTACTTGCATCCCATGTATAGCAAAATGTTATGTGAAAAGCAGTATATATAAAATTGGGTATTTTTAATCAGTATTTTTCCCAGCACTCAGTTTTCACATTAGTCAAATTCAGAAGTAATGATTTTTTTAAAGCACAATCTAATCTTCAATATATATATATAAATATATATATATAAATATATACTTTAAAAATGCTCTGTATTTTTAAACATGCACTGTAGTGAAAGCGCTTTTGGGGACATGAATGTGGTATTGTATTTAATCTCTTTCAACTTTTGTAAATACCTTTTACAAGTATTTTCCATACCGGGCCATCTAGTTTATCCATGGAGGTTTTTTGCTGTTTTTTAGAAACCCGTGCCAGTGGCTGCACTGCTTTTTTGTATCCCACAGAGCATCCCAGAGACGGGCAGGGCTCTGTGTCACCTGTGGACAAAGCAGGTGACACCCGCCTGGGGCACTGGGCAACCCTCAGCAGGTGACACCTGCCCCAGGTGGGGGGGGCACTGGACAACCCTCAGCAGGTGGCACCCACCTGGGGCAGAGGTGGCACAGGACAAACCTCGTAGCTCCTGCTTTTTGCTGTGACTTCACGGAGCAGAGGAGCAGCTCTGCCACAGCCCACGGTGTCCTGCTGGGAGCTGCTGCACCTGCAGGGCCCAGGTGACACGGGGACAGCCCTGCACCCGCTCCTGGACCTTCCTGCAGCCTCTGGAGAAGCCATCACCGTGTGTGTGGCTGGCACAAGAGCTGAGGATGGGCTTTGGCATCCCGAGATCCCCGGGTTTTCACCTGCCTGCTTTTTCCAGCCTTTGGAATTCCTGCGGTGTTTCCCCAGAGCGGCTCCCCGGGACGCACACGCCTGTGGATGACCGGTGTGTCCTGTGGAATGTGGCGCTTCCCCCGTGGTTTTGGGTGTCAGGGTGCAGTGTACAAACCTGGTGTAGCTCAGTGCTGTACTTCTAGCGCGTCCTTCACTTTGTGATTTGCTTCTCAAGACTCGTTGCATCGTCGGTGTGGAAAATAGAACCAGTATCAACCTTAGCTCTTCGGTGGTGTAGAAGTGTTTCAGTGTGGTTTGCCTCACATACTGATCCGTATTTGGCAGCTAATGGCGTTAAGTGACCATGAGTTCTCTTTGTCTGGGTTGGAAAATAAAGGGTTTTATTGTATCCGCATGTATTTTAAACTTTTTGGAGAATTCCATCGACCTGTGATGACAGCACATGTAAAAACCGATCTTTTCCTTTTATTCAGAAGTTATATTTGCTGTGGTAGCACTTGTTGTTGGCACTGATGGTAGTGATTTCACATCCTGTTTTGTACATCAGGTTTCATGATTACAGTGTTTTAAGTTTGTACAATTGTTTATGTAAAAATGATTTGGTCTGAAGAGATGCCGTGTGTTCACTTCTGATCCTAGACACATACGAGATTCTAATGGTAATACTGTTAAGTAGTTACAACTGTACCAGACTTAATTTTTACAGAGCTTTACATGCCTTTATTTATTCCTTTATCAGACCATCCAAACCATGTACTCTGTAGTTCAGTATTTGTAGACCAGTTTCACAAATCAACTTAAGGTATTGTGGCAAAGCTTCGAATAAATGTTTACTGAGACTTTGCACTGAGCTGCGAGTGAGGCTGTCAGGGGTGGGGTGGGATCCATGGGATGGGATGGATGGGAAGGGGAAGAGAGGAGAGGAGAGGAGAGGAGAGGAGGAAGGGACGGGGAATGGAACGGAATGGAATGGAATGGAATGGAACGGAATGGAATGGAATGGAATGGAATGCAATCTCGATCCCGGGGAGCCTTCCCGCCCCTTCCCCGCTTTTTCTCGCGAGACCGCGCGTGCCCGGAAGTGGCGGCAGCGCCGGCCGCACGTGTGGCGGCGCCGGGCCGGGCCCGCTCGGATCGGATCGCGTCGCTGTCACCGCCACCGTTCCTGTCACTGTCCCTGTCACCGCCGCCATGGGCCGAGCGCGCCGCCGGCACAACTGGAAGGCGCGGCTGCCGCAGGGCCCCGCTCCGCCGCCCGCCGCCGCGCCGCTGGAGCTGCCGCTGGAGCTGGGAGGTGCGGCGGGAGCGGCGGGGCCCTTCCCGCGGGCTCCGCTCCTTACTGAGAAATGGGGCCGCGGAGCTGCTGTCGTGTCTTTGCTATGTTTTATTATGTTTTTATCGGAAGTGTTGTTGTTTTTAAAAGTGCCCAGGGAGGCGGTGGATTCACCGTCCCTGGATGTGGCACTCGGTGCCCAGCTGGATCTCAGGTTGGACTCGATGATCTCAGAGGTCTTTTCCAGCCGAATTGATTCCCAAATTCTGTGACCTCTGTTCCACCACTCACTGCCTCCAGGGAGTTCAGGAGTTGGACTCCTTCCGAATCACTACACTCAGTGGTTCCATTATTTATTAAAGCAACGACTAAACATATTTCTTATGTTAAACGTTTGTTATTATGGCGTTAGTTATTATATTTTTATTATCGGAATTTAGTAATGAAGTTTTTTAGTATTAAAATTCACTGGTGCCCGGGTGAAACAGAAAGTTTGGGAGTCACCTCAGGGCACGCTGTGTCCTAACCATGGCAAATTGAGTAAAAAGGCAAAAAATTGCATAATGTTGTTACATAAATCATGCAAAACCGCCCTCAGAGCTATAGAAAGCTCAGGGTTATTGAATCCCCAATTCCGAGGTCTTTTGCCCTTGCTGATGTTGCAGGATTTTATTTTTTTTTGGCTGGCCATGAGGGTTGTGCTTGTTTGAAACAGCTAAATCTGGCCTAGTCCTTGATAAGCCTGCTAAGCAGTGTGCTGAAAATAATCCACCTGGCAGGAATGAATAACCAAAGCCTTGCCTTCAGATGGAGCAACGCTGAAGGGGATTGATGAAAGTAATGCCCTGGTCCTGCCAGCAAAAAAAGCAAAGAAGAAAAAAGTTTCGTGTGTTGTGCAACAGCAGAAGAAACCCCTGAGCAAGAAACAGAGGAAAAACCTGCAGAAAGTTTTGGAGCAGAAGGAAAAGAAAAAACAGGTATGATGCTGTTTCTGGCAGCAGCTTTATGCTCTTAAAACATTATTCCAGGTGTGAATTTTCAGGTGTGAGCTCTCAGGGTGTCTCACAGGGTGCAGGTGCTGAAGGTGATGTTACAAACAGCATCAGCCTCCCCTTTGCTGGGCAGCTCCCCTGGGGGAAGGCATTCCCTGCTCTCTCAGTGGGTTTGGAGTTGTAGGAACACATCATTCCTGGGTCCAGGTTCCTGTTCTGAGCAGGTTCACAAGTGTTGTGGGATACATCACTGGCACTCAGTGAGGTTATTGCATTTTAAAAGCACTCTGTGGAACAGGTGCTGTGAGCAGATCTGCACACCTCCATGCACCCCTAACACTGGGTCAGTGCTTCTGAAATTCTTATTGTGTGTTCAGTATGGAAATAAGAGCTTTTCTGTCTCTGTGAAACCTTTCCAGGCAAAATTCCTGGTCCTGTTAGTGTCTGAATCATGGCTTTCACAAAGGAACTCTGGTTTTGGAGGGAGTTTAAAACTGTGGCTGCCTGACCTCCTGCCATGTCCCACAGGAGGGATTTGAGGAGAGGCTCCCATTGCTCCAGGCCTCATTCCAGTGCTTTAGTTCAAATCTGTTTTCTTTGCTGCTGTTTTCAGGGTGCAGCTGAGCTGCTCATTTCAGTGATGTCAAGTCCCCATTTCTATTTTTGCTCTGGTACAGGGCTGAAAAATCATCACCAGTGAGGACTGACCCTGGAGCAGCAGGAATGTTTTACAACTGTACAGCAGGATTTACCAGAGCACACCTTGTAATGCTCAAGTGCAAATCTTAAAATGAAATTATTTCCTGGTCAAAACAAGCACTGATTTTGGTTGTTTTTCCCTCACAGAGAGCTGAGCTGCTGAGCAAGCTGAACGAGGTCCAGGCCTCTGAGGCAGAAATGAAACTCCTGTACACAACTTCCAAACTGGGGGTTGGGGGCCGCATGTTTCAGGCTAAAAGGTAAAGTGCTCTTTGGGTAGAACCATCACAACTGATTACTGTGTTTGAGCAGCAATATTCTGAGCTTTCCCTTGTTTTGTTGTTTTTTTTTTTTTTTTCTCTTCTTGGTGCAAACAGGTTCTTCAGAATGGGTGGGATTAAATAATTTGTTATTTTTATCTGATAATGTGATAGTTATTTTCTTGTATGAGAGGATGTTAATTAAAAGAACTTGGTCTTTCATATGGGGTGAGGTGGGTGACACAATCTGCAGGCTTTTAGCAATTATGCTAAACTACACAACTGGTGGATAAACATTTACTTATTTTCTTGTACTGGAAGACGTCTGCTGATGTTGACCAGAGCTGCTGAATTAATCAAGAGCTGCATTTACAGATTAAACTACAAAGATGCCTTCAGAAGAAATGAATAAACCCCAGGATTGAAAATGCTTAGATATGAATCCATCAATTGGGTCAGCCAAGGCTTTACTTGTGGCAGAGTTGTGGAGATCTTGGTTTTTGGGGAAGTCATGGCTGGTTTGAGGTGCCAAAACACAATTCACATGTAGATGTTTTGTTTCCAGGGTGACACAAGAGCCCAGGACTGATGTCCCTGAAAAGATCAGGAGCATCAGCGGTGCAAACAAGAGAAGGCACAGCTCAGGCTCAGAATCAGAGCCTGAGGAAGAGCCCAGCAGCTCTGAGGAGGAGGAGGAAGAGCAGAAACAGGACACTGAGAAGTCCTCAGCCAGTGCTGTGACTGCTGCTGAAAAGGCAGAGGGAGGAGTGGGGAAGGCAGGGGCTGAGCAGCCTCCAGCTGCTCCCAGTGCCCCAGCTGCCCAGGCAGCCCCCAGCAAGGCACCCTGCAAGCCTGCAGTGTTTGTCCCTGTGGACAGGAGTCCTGAGATTCAGGTGAAGCTCTGGGAACAGCACATCCAAAGGGGTGGAGAGGATGGGGTGTTCCAGCAGCTGGGTGCACTCATTTCTCTTTAGTTTTACATACAGAATCTATTAACAGTTCTTTATTCCTTTGCTGGAAAGTCTCCTGAATTTTCTTTCAGCTCTCCATTGCTTTGTGTCTCATGCTGCATGGTTTTGTCCCATTTGTTGTAGGTAGGGCTTTCTGCAGAAACAGGAGAAGCTCTGCAGGAGTCTTAGCAGATGAGACAGTTGTGAAATTAGTTTTCCCTTGAAGTGCTATATTAAGAAACTCAAGGGACTCTGAAGTTTCACAAATTAAAGTGCAGGGCTTGTCCTCTGTTTTTTGGGAAGCTGCTCTGATGACTCTCTGGTATTAACTGGTTCAGAGCCTTCTGAGTCACAGGCTTGCAGAATTCCTGTTTGTGGGTTTTATGGTCTGAGGAAAGTAACAGCTTTCAATCCAGAGCAAAGCAAAGAAGGAGTGAGAAACCACACAATTAAAATACGTGTTTTACTCTGTTTAGGAAGCAAGACTAAAGCTCCCAATCCTTGCTGAAGAGCAAGTGGTCATGGAAGCCATTAATGAGAATCCCATTGTGATCATATGTGGAGAGACAGGAAGTGGCAAAACCACACAAGTGCCTCAGTTCCTCTATGAAGCTGGATATGCCAGGTGGGAATTGGATTTTATATGCAGCAAATGGAATTGCAGAGACAAGGTTTTGGGACTAAAACTTTGCTGTAATCCCTGCATCTTCAGATCAATATAAATATAGATGTAACAGGAGGGAATCCCAAAGCTTGCTGTCCGTGTTTTTATTCCAACTATAACTAAGGGTGAGACTGTGTGACTGATGCCACTTAACCTAGAGCCATTAGTGAGAAATCCTGTTGTCATTTTTCAGGCTGTTTCTCTATTTAATTAAAACAACCCATCCTTTTCTTTTCCTCCCCTCTCAGCTCCAATGGCGCCATTGGGATCACGGAGCCTCGGCGCGTGGCTGCCGTGTCCATGTCCCAGAGAGTCGCCAAGGAGATGAACCTGTCACACAGGTGAGCTTCAAAAAAGCCTTCAGACCTTGCTGGAAGGTGGCACTGAGATGCTCTGGCAGTGACATTGTGCTTTTCCCTGTGCTTTTTCCTGTCCTGCCCTGGTGTTCCCCCACAGAGTGGTTTCCTATCAAATCCGGTATGAAGGGAACGTCACAGATGAGACACAGATCAAGTTCATGACGGATGGTGTGCTGCTCAAAGAGATTCAGAAGGTAAGCTGCTGTCCTCAGCGTTAGAAAAAGAGAATTTTGTGTAGCTGGGAAGAGAGGCCAGTGTGGATTTGTTGCCAGTCTTTCAAATCAGAATCCCTTTCAGCACCAGAGATTTATTTCATCTCTACCCTTCATATTTCTGCCCAAGTCCCTAAACGTTAAGTTATTTTGCTGGGCAAAATGAGAGCAAGAAGGGACTTGGGATCCAGGCTGCTTTGTGTAGGGTGAGTGCATTAAACTGTGTGAGAAATCCAGCTGTGCATGGGGGTCAGTGCTTGTGTAGCTGTGTCCTCACTCTGACATCCTTGGCTGAGGCCTCCTGTGGTGAAATCCATCTCTCTCCTCAGGACTTCCTGCTGTCAAAGTACAGAGTCATCATCATTGACGAGGCCCACGAGAGGAGCATGTACACAGATATTTTGATAGGGCTCCTGTCTCGAATCGTGCCCCTCCGACAGA